CTGTCCGAAATCCGACGTACGTCATGGCCGAAGGCGATGAGTTGTGATCCTTGGCCCGTTTCCACTCAAATTAGACTATTAATTCGTCAAAAACGGACAAACCCAAAGTTATCATGAAATCATTATTTTGCCTTGCGATCCCACTTCATCATAAATTCTAACTCCTTATGCACTTCATCATATTCTATGAATTATTTTTCTTGTTTTACTCAATTTTTGACATGCATTATTTGGTTTCTCAGATATGGGGTTTAATTCTTCTGATTTTGGTGTATTGGGTTCTTGAGTTTCTTGGAATTTCTTGACCTAATATGTATGTTCTTCAGTTTCTCGGGTACCTGGCTGAATTTTTCTGATCTTGGTATAACTGTGATTTCTATGTTTTTAGTTTCTTAGATGCTTGAAATTCTTGGAAGTTTACTAATTGCCATCTTAGGCATACTTTTCGGTTTGTTCAACAATGTTATTTTTTCCTTTTGGGAATGTCAGAAATTGATGTTGACAAAATTGGTATGTAACTAAAATCGCCTCACAAACTCTCGTCATAATTATAAGTGTAATAACTTGGTTCCTGCCAGAGAATGTAGTATTACAATTTTTGTTCCCCAAAATTTTCAAATCTTCACTGTTATAGCCTGGATCCAACCTTTAGACCCAATTGATGCTGAGTGTGGAGAATCACAAAGGAGGGAGTCATCTTTTTTCAGCCATGCCTCTGTTTTCTAAGATGAGTAGACATCCTAGAACTTTGAAGTGGATGCTTCTATTTAATTTTCTTGTCCACAATGTACTCTCATAATGTGTTATGCTTTTTGTTTGATTGAATCGTTGTAGGAATTGCTTTGTCCACGGAGATTCAATTATTTAATTTAAAATGTGTATGTACAACGTTTTACTATCAAGGAGGGACATATAACATAAGTTTAAGTGAACAAGTTTGAAATGTGTGATATTTTATTTGAATTGCAGTGCTATCCAAGCAGATAGTAATGGTGGTGGAGGAGACAATGAATAGTGCAAGAGTTAGAGCTCCAAAAGCAGACTTTATTTGCATTGGTTGATATAAATTTACCAGTTATTAAAATTATGAAATTTGGTAGGAAAATTACGGAATGGAGAAATCTCCTCAGTCCTTGTGATGTTAGGACTTATAACATTACAAGAAGCAATGTGCAGGAGCTACTTGTGGGAGGCAGGTAACATGGATATTCATAAGGTAAAAATGGAAACGATAATGGTAATATGCATATTCAACTCCTGACAGTATATCCAATTTGAACTCCCCAGAGGATCCTTTAGGATTCCCTTGTTCCAATTCTGTAAATTTAGTTAATGGTGCCTAATGACAGCTCTTTTGTTTTTCTTTCTAATACTTAATTTAGTGGCCTCCGAAGACAATTGAAAAGAAATTTGGCGATGTCTATATTCCTCATGGTGTTTCTGTCCTAGCCCTCGACAAAGACATTCTTTGGGAATTTTAGCCTAAGAAAATAGGCGTGTCTTAAATAATTCAAAACTGCTGAATATCATATCAATCGTTTTAACTCAAATTAGAAATCTAGAGTACCTTGGTGACACCTTCACTAATTTAACAATGTATTCCTGTGTAGAATACAGAGATCTCTTTACATGTGGAGACTTGTATGCTATAAGTTTTACAGGACTTAACTCAGAATGTTGAATTTGAAAATTCTTTATATGAAATCTTACTTCACCTCTTATCGGCACTTCAAATTATTTTATCTACATTTCATTCCATGATAACTACCCTATGCAGAATGTTTTCAAAAACAATTTAATGCAACACCATGTAGCACTTCCTTCTGATGCTATGGGAAAGATAAGCTACATTGGCCCACCTAGACAATATTCTTTAAAGGTTTTTCTTTTGAACTCCATTTTTATAATAATATAGAATTTTCATAATTTAGTTAATGGGATGTATCCCATCATATAATGAAATACTTACTAATAGGTTGATAGGATATATCGCATCATAGGTGTTGATCTTACTTGGTTATCATATTCATGGGTAAGTTATCATTTGATCAATGTTCTTTCACATTTATCCTCTTTTCATCTGGTTTCGCTACAGTCACGACCGTCCAGTTGCCGCTAATATTTTATAAATATCTTCTCCATGTACCTTTTTTATTGGATAAATTGCAGTTGATATTTTATAAATATCTCTCCATGTACCTTTTGTATTGGAGAATCAAACCAACAAGAGAGGAATCAAAATCTTCATTTCACTCCGAGACCATGGTGCAGTAAAAGTAGTAGACAGTGTCCACAAATCGCGACAACCAATTTCGTGCTGTCACACTCCTCTATTGTTCGTCGTCTCCGGCTCTACTTCGTCGCGGTGTCTACTCTACGAAGAAACAATTGTCCGCGCAGCGCGGAGGACACTGTGTCCGCATCGCGGCGCAAATACCCGTTGTTATATGCAGGATATTGAAGCCTTGGCAGGCACTGCCAAAATCAACACCACACCAGAGCTCGTGGAAGAGAAAATATTTCTTTTTATTGGACAAAAAATTGTAGTTATACCATTTTTAGAATTTTCATTTTGGAGTTTGTATATTTATATTCGTGTAATGAATTCTAGATTCTGATATTATGGATTGCATTTGGCAGAGGAGGTGGAAGAGGAACAAGATTAATGAAAAAAACGAAGGCATTGCAAAATATAATTCCATCAAAGTAAAAACCACAAATTGTTATATTTTCCTTTATAGTGTTTAGTTTTAATGTTGATTGAGTAAATGTAAAGGCATTTGGTTTTTCTTTTCATTTTTTATTTTCCGTGTCGCCTCATGAAGTAATTTCTCAAATTAATTTAGTGCATTTTTCAATTAAGTTGTAAAATATTCAGTGGTGTTATGTATGGAAATTAACTGTGTGGCTATGAGTATATGACATGAACTAGATTTAATTCATATATT